CTCAATTTTGAGACGATTCGATATTCTTCTAAATAGAATTCGATGTTCTCAAAATTTTGACAGTCTTGGAAATATTGGAAACGTTCGAAACACTCGAAGACCTTTGATAAATCATTTGAAAATTAAAAAATTAATAAATTATCGATCTTTATGGAAACGCCACGATACGAAAAGAATGCTGCGAAAATATAAACTCTGCTCAATCGAAAAACCGAGGGGAGAAAAAACACAGTCGAATCGGGTTGGTCAAAGTGGCGAGAACAAGGGATACGATTACTTTTGCCGTGTGTGGCGCGCGCGAATGCTTTCGATTCTCGACGGGGCCCTTTTGGTCCCGCGCTACCGGCTTGATATCAGCTGGCGTAATCGCTTGGCATTCTTCGCGTACGCCGCGAAAGAAACGAGCGAACGGGCCGCAACTTATGGCGGCGCCGTGCAATGACATCAGTAAGCTGGAACGGGTCCGTACGTCATCGTTGCGTACGCGAGATTCCATAGATGAACGCTCGATACGCGCTTATTAATGCAACGCCGAGGATCGCCCAACTCTGCTCAATGGTGGGCGAGGGGGGAAAAGAAGAAAAGGAAAGAAAATAACGAAAGGAGAGAAAGAAAAGGACTGAAGAAGAAGAAGAAGAAGAAGAAGAAGAAGAAGAAGAAGAAGAAAGGAAAGGAACGAACGCAACGGTTCGTTGGACAACTTCTTCGAGCGGTGAGGCGCCGATAAAGTTTCACCTCGCGGTGTAATCGTTGGCAAGGATCGCCAGGTTGTCGCTGTTACTTCTTATTCCGGCGCGGGGGCGAGCTTATCTGCGCGAACGACACCCTTCCTCCTTGTCTACCTGCCTCGTTCGCCTCCTCGCGCTTTTTATTCCCTTCCGGCTCCCGGCGTATCTCCGTTTCGCGATCTTGTCATGTTCGGCAGAAACTCGCCTGTTTCTCGAAAACGATTAACGAGACCATCCGAGTCTGCCGGCACGACGAAAGTGTTCACTTTGTCTCTCGTTTGGCTGTATTAAAACATTGTTATGATGCCAGGTGATGGTTTACCTTGTTAGTGATTGATTTGCGTGAAAAGCTGATTATGAAAGCTGTCTTTTATCTTTTTCGAAAATTGTCTCTTTATAACACTAGGTTCTTATAGGTATAAATATTTGTCTTGTTAACAATAAAATTGTGTTGAACACGGTATATTTTTTTATTCATATATTTGCTGCACAAAAGTTCTGATAAAGTATATCTGCGAGTAGTGTTAGTAGCATAAGTAGTACTTGTCAATATACAGCGAGTCACAGAAATATTCTTATTCCTTTTCTCGTCAATAATGACATACGTCGAAATAATTAAGTTTAACTAATTGATAATTGAAAATTGGCAATTGGAGAATCTGAAGTTTCGATGTTAGGAAAATAGACTTCGACAATAGCTACAAATTGATGAGAAATAATCACAAATGATACAGAGACGGACCAATATCCTTTGACTCTTCGTCGAATCGCTTTTAAGACAAGACATTTTTAACGATTCAGGTTAGATAAATATTTCGATCTCGTCATGTAAACATTTATCAAGCGATTAATTCAAACAAAAATTACAGAATACAACATATCAACCGATATAACCCCTACCCTAATGGGTCAATTCACCAGCGCTTTGCCAGTTTCTCAACGTTATCCCCATCCCCAGATCTGCGCGTCCATTCGGTTCCTTTTTCAAACCGTGGCTGAAAGTCGTTTTGGAACTCGGGTGTTTGACGAACGGTCGGCAATGTCCGGCGTGCATTCCCCGATAGTTTCGCAGGCCGCGTTAAAAATACCGGTGTGACCGTGGCGCATGGAAGGGTCAAAGGCACGCGGTGGTTATAAAGCGTGCGCGGTGCCGCCACCCGCGTGCAACGTATAATAATAATTAAAGCCGCTTAATTACCGGCACGTTGGCGGGAAGGATTCGGACGGGCGATAATTCAACGGCGGCCGAAGAATCCCGGAGGGGTTCGCGCCAAGCGTTCGTCGTAAGCGCGTGCACCGCGAATGCGACGCAGGGTGGACGGGTGAACGTTGTCGGTGTCGCACGGGGCAAGGATAGTCCGCAGAAGCACGAAGCAGTTAATATTGTCCCCCGAGGGTATATTTTACCGGAGATACGATCTTCGGGATGCCTCGCTAAAAGCTACACGTGTTTATCAGCGTAAGTCTCTTCTTTCTACCCTCGTTCGAACCTCGGACCCGCTCCTTCCTCCGCTTGGTCCAGCCGCCTGTTTTGGGGTAACGTCCAGCGTTCAACGTTCGATACACGGTTTTATCGAATCTGCATCTGCCGAAGTGTTTCTTCGAGGCTGCGACATCGAGTTTCCCGTTCGATATAGACACACTGCCGTTCGTATACACCTGTTGCTTTCGAGGTGAAGCGGGATAATTGACCCAGGTTGTCAGAATTTTTAGCCTCTCACCCCCCTTTTGAGGAACAGGATGTAAAAATTGAAACACGCGAGTGCAACTTTTTTAAGAATTTGTTTTCAATGCTGTAATAAATATTTGTAATATTTTAACGTAATTTTTTTTTTTTTTCGTTGAAACAGTATATATTTATAAAAAGATCCAGGTACCTCGATCCTAAAAACTCCACTGTACAACACTATACAGGAATACTGGTTGGCATTTTCTTTCCTTTCAAACGTAATAATTACTTACGTTCCCGGATTTCTGTTGCATATCGTATTACATTTAACAAAAAAGTGATCTTTCACTTGGTAAAAGAAGTAAGAAATACAGTAAATTCGCTAACTCAAAAGCACAGCTACTTATCTGTCTCATCAATCCCGCGAATTCTCAAAAATGGATCGCGAAGAAAGAGCATATTTTCGAAAGTAGGCTTGTAAAAAAAAAAAAAAACTCCACTTGAGAAACTTCCACTAGAAACTATTAGATCATTGACAGCCACAGTCACTCAGGGGACACTTGAGAAGCGGCTCGATCGTGATCGATGCAACGGCGCCCCGTTTACAGCTGGAATGGGTTGCCGGATGATAAAGCTCCTCGCGGGGGTTTTAGATGTCGTACGAACCGGGCGATAACGAGCCGTTTCGATTACCAACGGTGCCCTCCGGTACCACGGCACCGCGCGCGCGCGCGAGATAAATGCGCCAGATAGGAAAGTACAAATGATCGAGGGCCGTGATCGAACGACCGGTACACGAGTGTGCCGCGAAACGGCCCGCATGACGAATTTCTCTGAAAGCGGTAATCGGCTAGTTAGAAGTGGGTACACGATATTGCCGACAAGGTGTTGCCGCTTCGAGATCGCACAATCTCTACCGGAATTTCTCCCCTTTTGCTCCCGATGGTGATTAGCTCGTTTCGTGATAGCACGTTTTCGCAGAGATTTTTCTTCGTGAGAGTTTCAACTGGATAATCCAGTGGGAATTCCAAGCCGAGAACCCGATAATCAGCGCAACATTGTCGAATGTCTCTCGATTTTCTTCTACTTGATTTACCGGTCGGACGCGGCGAACGCGGAATTACACGAAACGACGAGGTATTAGGCGCCGGTATAGCGTTTTAGTTACAGACGATTCTTTCACAGCGCCACAAAAGATACTTCGGATCGATAACAGGTTCCAATGAAAAGTTTCGAAGCTGTTGGAAGCCGGTTGCACCGATACCATCGAATATCTGGAACGAATCCCTCCTAGATAACGTCAGCAAGTCCTACGTTACAAGCTACCGCGTGAGGTTCTTATTTCCAGCGGACTGTGCGCGCTAACGTGTCATTACGGATTATACTGTTTAACTTTATTAACGAATTTCTTTTTTTCTTTTCTTTTTTCTTTTTCACCGGTGACACCGGCTGTTTGCTCTGGCAGCGCGCGTGCGCGTCATTCGCCTCGGCGCGAGTCGAGCGAGAACCGGCGGGAAACGAACAGATCGTTCGATTAAGGAATCAAACGGCCGAGAGACGGGAATTATAAATCGGGGGGATTGATTGGCCAAGCTGGCCCCGAGTAAACGAACGTAAAATTACTGTGATTAAGCAATATAATTCATTATTGCGAGCCGACGTTACGCCGAAATAATTTTGTTCAAATAATGCCAGAGTTGGTAGAATACAAATTACGCGCGCGATCGTAAGCGCGTACGCGCCGTCGCGGTAATGATACCTCCAGCAAAACGATCGGCGTCTATTATTGATATCGGCGGCCGCGCTGCCGATAGCCACCGGTCCGATAAAAATCGAACGGTACGGTAGCCAAATTTTACATACATTATCGTGGCTCGACACGATCGCTACGCCCCGTATCGCGATTCTCCGTCCTGCTTCGACCAGCTAATTGTTTATAATCTGCTTGCCTAATTTCAACGGCGTGATTGCACGTTCCGGTCCGCGTTGCGCGCGGTGGCCGACGAACGTTATCATCGTGTACTTTTTAATACGCTGGCGAAATTATCCGTGAAACCTGAAATTTCCGAGAGCTTCGCCTGGTATCGGTGCCCGGCCGCACTTTTGCTCGCCTTCGTCCGCTCCATCGCGATCCTCGCGTTGTTCCTTCTCCTGGGAACATCAGCTTGCGACTCTCTTTGATAATACGGTACAACGTGACTACTATTTGGTAGTCGTTGTGAATATTCACGTACGCGGAAATTCGTATTTCGTTCATTTTCTTCCATTTTGAGGGATTTTGTTTGACGTGGAAAGATTTTGATTGATATTTCAGAGATTTTATTGATAATGTCAGACTGTAAGTAAAACTTAGAATCGAATTTTATGCGTCTTATAGTGACATAAATTCACCATGCGATTTCGTTAATAAAATTACTAAACTAAGATGATAGACGCTTATATATATATTTCTTTTTACTACAAATTTTATAGTAAAATTTTGTTACAATTTTATTAACAAATTTTTAGACGGTAGTTAGATTATAAAATGTTTGTTTATAAAGAATATACGTACAATGTTGAAATACAAATGTGTAATCTATTGTCATTTATATTTTTTTCAGGTATGATACTTTCTGAAGCGAAGAAGGAAGGAAAAAACGCCTAATCGCGAAGAAAAGATGGAATTTATGAATTTTTTCGTCATATCATGAGGATGTATCTCTTTGTATCGAAACGTTCAAAGCATTTAGAGAAGGATGGTTCGAGGATCTGCAGAATTAATCACGCTAAAATTGTTAGATGATTCAGTGAATATCTAGGATAAAAAGAAACACTAATTTGTCGATTAATTTAGTTTAATTATCATTTCGATGGCAAAAATTAAATTTAATTGAGGGGTATGTGTAAATCACAAAATTATTTTAATTAATATATATGAAAAGATTTATTTTACGATTTTCAATTATAATTGTAAAAGTAAATAATATCAAAAATTTTAAACAAAATTGCTTGGCAATTTTTCTAAATCTCCATTTGGATACATGCCTTTCAACAAATTTGAACACTTTTGTCGGCCAGTCAGAAGTTATATCAGAGAATTCGTTGTAATATTTATGTATGTATATGGAACAAGGAAATCGCCACGAGGCGACGTGGTGAAATAAAACCGAAAATGTCGAGTGGTCGACAGGTAAAACCATGGAGGAGAACCATCGTTGGCGCGCGTGGTTCGCCGTTTCATTTGCATATTCAACGCTCGCCGTGTTACAACAATAAAATACCGGTAAACACGTGTTTCGTGGTACATTATGGTCTGACTTTCGACAGCCGAGTCGCACTTTTGGCCTGTTCCTCGCCGTTCCTGCCTTTTCGTGAACGATCAACACGCTACCGCGACCGTAATCGCAAATTATCCTTGCATCCTGTGATCGCCTTTCAAATCTTTCTTCCTCTTCTCGTTTCTTCTGTTTTCGAAATTATCAGCGAGCGACGCTTGAAAATATGCTTAGAATACTTGTTGATATTATTCAAACAATATTTACGGACTGTGTAGGTGGTTGGAACAATTTTCTGAAGGACAACATGAAAGGATGAAGATGCCTATTTGCAATCATGAAATCAGAGCCACTTCTTGTGGACTAGATCATTTTCTCCATGAAGGTATAATAACAATTGTACTCAATATATATATCTCTCTTTACATATACCTAGGACAGAAGAAAGTTTATGTATTAAAAAATTCGCTTTCTTTCTATCTCCACACCATATGTTTAGTGTTTTATTTCAACTAGAGTATTTACAAGGTTGTACAATAACTGACTGTCGTTCAAACACTAATTGTTAAAAATAATATTTGCGAGTGGAGACGTAGGAGGTACGCACAGGCAGTACAGTGGATATCTACTTCGTAGCGTAGAAGAACCAATGATAATCTGTTTTTTTTTTTTTTTTAATTATTTAATTACTCAGGATGTCTTGTCTGCAGTACCTTGGGCTTGGAGTGCCCTTTAACCTGCATAAAGATTGATATTACTAGTTTGTGGATATTTGTGTAGTTTGTTTGCACGATGAGGTGAGGTTAGGCTTGCAGGAAAATCTGTGCATTGGAGTCGGACCTTATATATCTCCGACTCCCTTTGTGTCTTTTCCGGGTCGAAAAGGATCTGGAAGTTTACTGTCTAACTGAAATTCGCTCGGTCAGGGCCATGAGGGTTTTTTTTTTTCGACAATTACCTCATGGCCTTGACGGTACTACGTCCAGGATCCACGTCGTTGAGGACGACATATTTATTATATTATTTATGGTACTGCACGGGTCGTGTATATAATATACAGTTCATACCTCTAATCTAATTTTACAAATGAACACATGTACAATTTAATCAAGATGTAATGTGATTTTTAGTACAACAATACATACCATACATTTAATTTAATTACTAGACCGTAATAACAAACCAATCAAGTTTTTTTATTTAATTATTGTAACGAATAGATATAGCGGCGGCAATCTTACTAACCAAATCAACGCGTGACCCAAATAACTGAACGAAATAATGCACCGAATCTCGCTGAAGGCAACTGTTGAAACCCTTTCTCCCGGACGCGTTTCAAAACCGCCATAAACCAATTTACAATGGCAACTATCTAAACAGTTGCCAGTAGCCTGGCCACGATGTACTCGAAACCTGCTTCCTAGAAACTGTTCTCTAAATCAATATTACACCCTCGTAAGTCCCGCGCAACGACGTGATCCCGGATAAACGTCCAATTATCAAAATCGTGCCACCGATGGGGATAAATATGTCGGCGACACGAGGGAAGGGTCGCCATTCCGACAAGGATACGGCGTGGCAGCTCGATAGCATATATAGGTGTTCGAGTTACCGCGTGGGCGAGCAGACAACCGCTTGGTCCGTGTTCCTTTTTTGCGCCTAGATAGCTCGCGGCAAAAATCCGAATAGCTCAACTCGGTTGCGACTCGGCCGGTTCTCCGTTGTTGTCGGCGAGCGTGCGCGAGAGGGTGGGAAACGGGCTCGTTTTGCCCGCGTGCAACGCGAACACGTCGCCTTAATCCATTACGCTGATTCACGCGTTGATTTACGCACTCTCCACCGCGTGAAGCAGCGAATACCGATGCGAGCGGGTTAATACCGCGACCCTTTTGTCGCTGACAGTTTGTACAAGGTGTAAACCGCTTGTCGTCCCCGGCAGGCTTGTTCTACGTTGTCGTCGAGAGGCGAAAAGCCGCGAGTTATGCGAGCTAGAGGAATACATACGTGCTTATAGAAAGAAATATATGTACGTTTAGAACAAAGATACTTTCGTTGATAGAATACGTAAATGTCAGTCCATTTTTGGTAATTCTGGTGATAGCGAAAAAAATATGTTGATAAATATCTCTCTAAATGTATTTGAATGTTCATACAATTTTATAAAATTCAGTGAATTATATTTATATTAACAGATGGAAGGGAATATTCCCGCAGATTTCTACGGACGAAATCCAACAGAAGAGTTACTTGAACTTACTTGTCGTTGAAAGATGTTTTCTTCCAAGGTATCCAATATCCTAATTAACAAGCGAATAACCACCACACGACTGCAACGCTGCTTCGATCATCCAGAAAACAAGCGATTCATAAAACAAGCAATCGCCACTCGCGCGTGCCCGCAGCTAGGCGCGGCACGTTTCGTCACGAACTCCTTCACACTCCTTGCATCGCGAATATAAATTTGCGCATACTGTCGCGTACGAGCGAGAATGTTTCGCGTCAACGGGACGCGTCACGACGCCGACAGCGTGGAAACGCGGCACCGATCGTCGACATTTTGAAACCGGTCTCCGGTTGGGGTTGCTTACACTCGACTCTCGCCGCGAATTCGCGCTTGATCCGACGTACGAATTTGTCGAATACGCAACCGCGGCACGTGTAACGCAGACATGTGTATCGATATTCGTTGCGAGTGCTATTCCTTTCTCGGCTCGAGAAGATATCGCGGCGATAACGAGAGGCCTCGCGTTCACCGGGAACGAGAGTGGGAGTTGCCGAGCAATTTCTCCTGGTTTTTGCTCTTTAGGGAAGCCGAACGGTTCGGGGGCTGCTTTTAAAGTACACACACGGCGCGCGTCGTGTTATTACGGTGGCGCTGCGATGATAATAATTACAGGGCATAAAGTACGCAAGTTCCCGTGATCTTTCGCGATTCCGGATAATATCAACACACGGCTCGACAGCCGATGGCAGGCAGTTTCGATCGGCGACGATCGTTTTCTTAGTCGTTCTGGAACACGCACCGGAATGGTGAAATTTTCCAGTGTCGAGATCGATAGAAACCAAAAGCTTGCTATAATATGCGAAATCTAATATTTGTTTTAAAAGTCGAAAGATTGAATAATACTTTGCACAACAAAGTAACTGCAAAATATTTCAATAAATCTATCATGTAGAATACGCGCGCAATTTAAAAATTTGATCATCTATCAAATATCAAGTATCCGGACATGCAGATTGTTTAATTCAGCTCGGAGTAAGTATTCGCCTGATTTAGATTCGGATACATAATCTGCAGTTAGATTAGTAGTAGAGCATTCCATTGTTTAAACATTCTCAATTATCCGAATATACAATCTAAATTTCATAATATGTGTATAGTATATCTGTACGTTACATTTCATATTCCCCTTCTAATATTTTTCTTTCCTCCTTTTTTTCTTTTTTTCTTTCTCTCCGTTCATTGTCCTTGTTCATCTTGCACGCGCGTACGCGAGGCCAAATCAGTTCGATGCATTTTGCCACCTTGACACGGGCGCCGTCGTCTTAATTCCCATCAAGCTTCTCGATTCTGATACTAATCTGGCAGTCGGCCGATTGCCGTACGATCACGACGACTCGCGTGTCCTCTTCCCTCGTTTTCTCCTCCTCACCCTCGCTTTTACCGATCTACACCTTCTCCCTCCATTCGGTCATTCCCAGTGGAATATTCAAAAACATCTTAATCCGACGTATAAATGAACGGCCAGGGTGGTTTCCAACGTGCAACCATGGATTTCACGAGCGTTCCCTCTTGCAAGTTCGATCCAAGTGTCCTGGCTCCGTGTCCTGCAAATCCTCGGAGTCGATGTTCCCGCGCGCTGGACCACCCCTCACGTGTCCACCCTGCGATTCGTTCGTCACGCGCGACTTATTCCTCGACGGAATCTCGTTTCGTTAAACGAGGACCGATCGAACCGATTCCATCCGCTTAGGGGCACGTTCGTTCGACTTTGTACGCCTTCCGAGGACTCTGTCTGCATGTGGGGCGACAACTTCTCCCGATTCTTGAACGGACGTGTGTGAAGTCGTCGCTCGGGAATTGAGCGTAACTTCGATACATCGTGGCTGGTTAAACGCCGCGCATAATCGCAAAATGACGTTTCATTCTGTGATACGTTATGAATTCAATTGTAGGAGAATATACAATAGAATTATGGAGAGTATTTCGAATCAGTGGATTTTACAAGTGTGAAATCGTCAAATTGTGTCTTTTTCGAGGCTTTTCTGGGTCCTTTTCCAGCGTGAGATTTCGGCTCGCTTCCTTTTCATTGTATAGTTAACTGTATTTTTCAAACTTTCGATTATTATTGTGTTAACGTTGCTTGGAAAGATAACCATTGGATGGATGAATGTTAGATTGTTAAAATAGTTGATTTCACGAGTGTTTATCGTTCAAAATTTGGATATTAGGATAGATTAAAGAAATCAAAATGCATCGAGTCTGTGATTGATTAATGTTATCTTCGAGAATTATAACTTCTTACAATCATTGAATCTTTAGTAAAATCAAATTAGTTTAGACTATGAGTAGCAATCTCAAACATATAACAAATTCTGGATGTGGATAATTGAAC